CCACAGGCGTCGCGCCCCGCATGTGCGACGCGAGCTCCTTCACGAGAGCCGAGGGCGGGAAAGGCCGCTGCCGCGGGTCCCGCGGCGGTGACGTCGGCCCCCGCCTGCGCGGCGGCGTCGACGGTGCCCGCGGGTGGCGCGGGCTGCGCGATCGCGCTGGCTGCGCCGCCAACGTGGGCGCGCTGGCTGGCCGACTGCCGCTGGCGGAGGAAGACCGATCCCCTGCGTTGTTGTCCACGCCCGCAAGGTCGGAGAGCAACTGCATCGCTGGCCCGAACATCTCCTGCGCCGAATCGCCAAAACAGTTCGACCGAGAGCGGCCAGCCAGTTTCGCGCGCGATGCGCGCGCCCCTGGCTACCGCACGCGGGGCCACTTGTTTTGGCGATGCAGCTGCCTCCAACGCGTCGAACGCGCTGCCGCTGTCTGCCATGGCCGCGGCCGCAGTGCGAGGCGCCGAGCGCGACGCGGTGGCTGCGGCGCAGCCTCGGCGCGCGGGCCCCAGCCCACGCGTCGGCGCGAAAGGGGGGGGGCCGACCCCGCGCGGGCTCGCGGGCACCCGCGGGCCGCGGGCTTGAACCGAAATGGAATCGGACGCGGAAGCGAGACTTCGGGAGGAGGGGGAGGGGGTTGCCCATGGACCCATTGAAGTCTTGGAGCTCCTCGAGCCCTCGGGGGCCTCTCAGAAGGGCCCCGCTGGTTCTTGCGACGGGGTCTCGGGGGAGGGGGCAGAGTGAGGGTGGCATTGGGAACCAGAAATATAAGTGAACTGGTGTCCCTTTGAATGTGCAGGTCTTGGTTCACTTGTTTTCGTCGTTGAACGGGCGGTGGCAACGTCGGTGCCTTCGCGCGCGCCCATGCCATTCTGGGTGAACGCCTTCGCCGTTCGAGCAGTGGGCGTCTCCCCGACGTTAGTTGGCGTGGGATCCAGTGCCTGACAGCGGAGAGGGGGGCGCAGGGACGTGGCGCGGGGGCGCGGAGTGGGCCGAGTAGGGGAGGGGGGCGGCGGCATGTCCGCCTGAAGGGCGGAGGAGCGCAAAGGGGTGGGGCGGGGGCGGCATGTCCGCCACGAGTTGGAAGGCGAGAAGGCTGCGCTACAAGGCGGCATATCCGCCACGAGGCGGCATATCCGCCACGACCTTTTTGTTATCCCGAGGCCGCCCCGTTGGCCTGGAGAGTTGAAGAGTCGTAGCGCGAATTACTCGCCGCGCGCCCTGGCGGCGAGCTCCTTCTTGACCAGCTCCTCCGCCTCCGCGATGGCCCTGGCCTCGGAGCGATCGGGCGCAACGAGGCAGCAGGGGGCGGAGGGGGCGTCGAGGCAGGGGCGAAAATGAAGAGAGCGCGGAGGAGGGCGTCGAGAAGGGCGCCGGTGAGAATCTGGCCTTGTCGGCCTCATCGCCCGCGATGTACTTCAGGCTGACGTTGCTGCCAGGGACGCCGACCCTGCCGCTGCGGAACTGCACCTGGGGGGCGGAGCAACGATGAACAGTCGCCTGAAAGGCGGCGGGCGCGCAAACTGCGACCCCAGCGGGGCTGCTGGGAATCGCCGCGCGCGCCCGACGCCTCATCGGTGGGAGGTTCAACCCCGCTCGCCAAGTTGCGTGTGGTCTGCATCTCCCACCTCGGCTTCGCCCACTTGCGCTGCTTGTCCTTCCCAGCCGCGCCGTCCGTCTTCTTGCCCGTGGGGAGCGGCGTCTTCTTAGCCACGTTGCCCGTGGCAGGCGGCGTCGTCTTCTTTGCCGCGTTGTCATTGCCAGGCGGCGTCGTCTTCTTAGCAGCATTGCCCGTGGCAAGCGTGGGGGCCTTCACCGCCTCGGCGTTCTTTTTCGTCTTGACCGCCTTCGTCCTCTTATCCATGGCCGCGACCATGGCCAGAGCCGCCTCCGTCGGGGTCTTCTTCAGAGAGCCTGCGGCGATGCCGACCTTCTCAGCCTTGGGCGGCGGCGTCACGGCGACGATGCCGAAGTCGGAGTCGGAGTCGAGCTCGATCGGCAGCTCATGCTTCTTCTGCTTCTTCGCCGCGCGGCTCTTGCTGATCGAGGCCGTTTGGGCGGCGGCGGTGCTCGATAACGGCTGACAGTCGGCGGGTTTGCCGCCATCGTGTGCCGCCAGTTGCTGCGTCGACGGCGCATCCGAACTCCCCGCCGCCATCGAAAGCTGGTGGTTCGAACCTGCTCGTTCTTGCAACGGCTCCTGCGGCTGCTGCGTCTGCGAGCGGTCGATCAGCTGGATGGCTGGGTTGGGCCAGCGGCCGCCGCTGCGCGAAAGCCCCACCTGAAATCAGGCGGATCACCGCCGAACGAAAATATCCCCCCCCCCCCCCATCCCCCTAGGGGGATGGGGGGGGGGAATATTTCACAACACGCCCTCCATCCAGGCATCCAGAAACGTACCCCGCGCCGATCCAGGAACCCACCCCTCGACCCAATACCAGGTGTCCCGCGGGGGAATGCGTTCTGTTATTCCCCGTGGAGCCGTCGGCCAGCGCCCAGAGAACGAATCGGCCGCCGCGATGGGGAGGTGCTGCTGAGGAGAGCCGCCGCCTGGGCCGTGGGATGGCTGCAGCCCGCCGCGGGCGGGCGCAGGCGCGGGCAGCGCGAGGTGGCCGCTCTTCTTCCCTGCACGGAGATTAATCAGCTTCGCAATCGTCACCATCTCGACGGGATTTATCTGCGGCGCCGTCGCTCCAACACCTGGCGGGAAGGCGTCGACGTACGTGATGGGGTACTGAGACTGGAGCCTCCCAGGCGTGATGGGGAGAGCCTGGATGCCATCCCTGGGCGGCGGCATCGTCGCCACGAGATTCTTGAACGAGGATTTCACTGTGGCCAGATATGACTGCAACAGCTCCCTCGTGATCTCGCCCGTCTCCACGCCTGTCTGCTTGCACACCAGCAACAAGAATGCTGCCATATTGGCGGCCGTCGGGCAGCTCGGATGCCTCAGGCCAAGCGCCCCGAGGTGCTCTGAGAACGCCGCCATCTTGGCAGTGAAGCCCGAATGCGGCGAGAGCACGAACTCCCACAACTGAGGCGTCAGAAATTCAATGAACCCCTCGTAGTTCTGGAGCTTCCTCCCCTGCAGGCTGCCCGACGACAGAGCCTGCAAGAAGTCTCCCAGCTCGGACTGCGCCCACCCCACGCCGCCGCCCAAAGCAGCAAACTGCGCACTCTGGAGCTGCGACCAGCGCTGGGACGTCGCCGCCTGGATGCAGGCAGGAAGGTGCTCCGTCGCACTGCCGCGCGCTACGAACGCCGCCCGCGCCTCCTCCAGGCGGCCTCGAAGGATGCCCTCCATGGCAGCGATGCGGCGCGACCGCGCGCCGAGCGGAGTGCGCGACTCCCCGCGCGCGCACGCCGCCCGAAGCCCTCGGAGGAGGGCTCGCCAAAAACGGATCGAGCCAACGCGCGTGCGACGGACATATCCTACTCCTGCTCTTCCTGCTCCTCCTCCTCCTCCCCCTCCTCCTCCTCCTCCTCCTCCTCCTCCCCCTCCTCCCCCTCCTCCCCCTCCTCCTCCTCCTCCTTCTCCTCTTCCTCCTCTCCCTCCTCCTCCTCCTCCTCCTGGGTGAGGGGGGGCGCAGGGGGGAGAGGGTGTCGAAGGGGGGGCGGGGGAGGGGGTGCCGAAGGGTGCGCGGGGGGGAAGAAGAGAGCTATGGGGGAGGGTGGGTCAAGGAGAGGCCAGGGAGGGGAGGGGGGAAAGGGGTGGGCGGCTTGCCGCCGAGGGGGTGGAAGGAGGCGGCAAAGCAAGCCGCCGATAGGGCGGTTGGGAAGAAGCGGTTTCCCGCCACGAGGAGGAGAAGGCGGTTTGCCGCCAGAGGAGGAGTAGGCGGTTTGCCCCCAGAAGGGGTAGGCGGTTTGCCGCCAGAGGAGGAGAAGGCGGTTTGCCGCCAGAAGGGGTAGGCGGTTTGCCGCCAAAGGAGGAGAAAGCGGTTTGCCGCCAGAAGGGCGGTTTGCCGCCACGGAGGGGGAGAAGGCGGATTGCCGCCATGGGGGGGGGAGAAGGCGGATTACCGCCGACGGAGGACGAGGCGACGGAGGAGAAGGCGGTGCGCCGCCTAAGGAAAGGGGGGATAAGGGAGGGCCGAAGACACATGGATAAACATTTTCCTCCTTCCCTCCCCCCTCCCCGCGGGCATGCGCGCAGCCCGCAGCGCCGCGGCCGCGAGGTGCAGCAAGTACCTGCGGCGCCTCGGTCCTGAACAACTGAACAACAACAACAACGGAAATTCAATGGATTTCAAAAAAGTTAAGAATAAAAAATACGCAAATGATTAGCAAAAACACGAATATGTTCAGCCCCATCGACTTAGCAGAGATATCTAACTTAGTATATTACTTACATCTACACTTACAAACACCATAAGTATTGCATATGCACACATGAGATGCGCGATCAACAAGTGTACGTTCTATGGCTTAACTAAGATTATGTAAGATGAACGCTCTTACCGCACTTACAGCCACCCGACGATCAAAGTGGTGGCGGTCCCGGCGGCGGCGCCGGCTGCGCCGGCTGCGCCAGCCGCGCCGCCTGCGACTGCGACGACGACGACGACGACGACAACGGCGACAACGACAACAGACAACAAGGATGACAACGACAACGACAACGACGACGACAAGGACAACGACGGCGACGACCGACGACTACCACGAAAACCACGGGGACGACGACGATGACGACGACAGGAAGACAGCGAAGACGACGACGACAACAAGTCACGACGACGACGACGACAACGACGACGACGAATACTACAACGACTCGTACCACGACGACGACGACGACGACGACGACGACGACGACGACCGAGCCACAGCGACGACGAGCAACCAACGACCGACAACCGACAACCGATGACCACGCACCGACAACCAAGAACTGACGACCGACAACGCACAACGCCAAACGGACGACATCCAAGGAAGACGATGACCAGCGACCGACGAACGACGACCGACGACAACAACAACGACCCGCCCTCCGCCGTGCGCTCGGCCTCCTCTTCGCGCTCGGCCGCCGCCCGGCGCTCCGCCGCCACCAGCCTCATCACGCCCTCCAGGCTCGTCCTCGCCTGAGAGTTAGGTTCGTTGTCATCAGTGTCGTTGTCATCGTTGTCGTCGTGACCCTTGTTGTTATCATCGTTTCCATGTTCGTGGTTTTCGCTGTTATCGTTGCTATCGTGGTCGTTGCGATCGGTGTTATCGCTGCTACCGTTGAGTTCATTATTATCGTGGTCGTTGTTACCCTTCTTATCGGCGTCCGTCTCCTTGTGATCGTTGTCGCTGCTATCGTTCAGATTGAAGTCCCTCGTCGTCGTTGAGATCGTTGTTACCACTGTTATCGTTGCCGACGTCTCTATCGATGGCGTCATCGTGGTCAGCGTCCTAACTATAATTGCCGTCGCTGCTATCGTTGTCATCATTGTTATCGAATTTTCCATGGTTATCGATGTCGTCTTCGTCGCTCTTATCATTCGTATATGTGTTCCCGTTTTTGTCGACGCCGTCGCTGTTATCGATGTTAACGTTGTCATAAGCGTTATCAATATGTCGCTGTGTTGGCTATCGTCGTGGTCGTTCTCATCACTGCGACCGCCGACGGCAACTAAGGCTAACAGCGACGACGACGGCGGCGACGGCGACCAACGACCGGCGACCTGCGACCAACAACCGAGGACACCGAGCACGACGACGACGACCACCGGCGACGACAACAACGACGACAATCGACAAAACCACCTCAGGCGCGGCCACCCCCCCCGACGCCCACCGCCCCCACGAAGCGCCGCCGGCGAGAACATACCACGCCCCCGGATTCCAACAAAACCGACCCCGCCCCCCCCCCACGCCGGCCGCACCCCCCCCCTCCAAAAGCACGCCTCGGCGAGCCCCGCCACCGCCACTGCAAGAGCAGGTCCTGCACGCTCGACCCGAGCCTGCGCCTTCGCCACCGCCGCCTGCGCACGACCCGCCGCCTCAACCGCCCGCGCCAGCCCCGCTTCCGCCCCCTCCGCCTCCGCATCCGCCTTCCGCACCTCCGCCTCCTCGCGCTCGACGCGCCTCTGCGCCTCCACCAGGCGCGCGCCCGCCGCATCCCCCAGGCGCGCGTCCGCCGCCTCCCCCCGCACCAGGCACCGATCCGCCACCTCCACCAGACGCCTATCCGCGCGTCGGCCGCCTCCCCCCGCACCAGGCGCCGCCCGCCCGCCACCGGGCGCCGCGACGCAAAAGCCGTCTTCGCAGTACTGCACGCGCGTCTCGCCCGTGCGAGAGTTCGCGCGCAGCACGGCGCCAGCAATGCCCCTGTTGCACTTGCGGCAGGCCACGTGGAAGGCGAAATTGTCGCGCCCGCAGTGGGCGCAGCACCAGTCCCCCGCCTTGCGGAGGTACCGAACGTTCGCCATGCTGCCGACCTCCGCTCTCGGCGACACTGGCCAGTGTTAGGTATAGCACCTGCCTGCCACCTCTGTTACGTCCGACACTGGCCCATGTGATGTGCAACCCGAAGTGTCTTCGCATCGGGCTTTCGCTGCGTGTCACTAACATGGGGTTTCAACCTAGACTGTGGATGCCACCTAAGGTGGATCTGATTCTCGCCCGTCTGCGAAGTACGGTGCTAGCATATGATAAGGAATCATACGATAAGGAATCATAAGATAGGAAAACACACACACACACACACACACACACACACACACACTTTACCATCCTCCGGCGCAAAGACGACTCCAGCGCGAGTGCGATGAATCGGGGCGCGACCCATGAATTGCATTCCTTTGTTGAGGAGACACACACACACGCACACACACACTTTTCTTCAGGGAGCGCACCGCGTTCCTGGCGCGAGTGCAGGTCAGCAAAGCTGGCAGGCCAGCTTCTCTCCAGCTAAAGTAAGCACCACCGCAAGGAAAATGCGTAGCCGACACACACACACACACACACACACACACTCACACACACACACACACACACACACACACACAAACACACACACACACCCACACACACTTTTCCTCAGCGAACGCACCATATCGCGATGCGAATGCCGGAGAAGAGTCCTTCGCGGTAGCCGAAAAACAACATACCACTGAAGCGGAATGTCGCCTATACGAAGACAGGTCTTCCAAGCCGGCACACCAGACACCACGCAACCCTCCCCATCCGTTGGCCCGTGGTATTTTTGTAATACCACTGTGCGTGACACTCAATCGACACCGACCGTCGTCGCCGCGTCGTCGAAGGTCGTCGTCGTTGAAGGTCGTCGGCGTCGTCGAAGTTCGTCGTAGTCACAATTCGCCTTCGTCGAAGTTCGTCGTCGTCGTCGACGGTCGTCGTCGAATTTCGTCGTCGTCGAAGTTCGCCGTCGTCGAAGTTCGTCGTCTTTGAAGTTCGTCGACATCGAAGTTCGTCGTCGTCGAAGTTCGTCGTCGTCGACGTTCGTCGTCGTCGAACTCCATCGTGGTCCAAGTTCGTCGTCGTCGAAGTTCGTCGTCGTCGAAGTTCGTCGTCGTCGATATTCCTCGGCGTCGGAGTTCGTCGCTATCGAAGTTCGTCGTCGTCGTCGAAGTTCGTCGCTGTCGAAGTTTGTCGCCGTCAAAGATCAACGTTGTCCAAGATCGTCGTCGTCGAAGTTCGTCGTCGTCGAACGTCGTCGTCGTCGAAGTTCGTCGTCGTCGAAGTTCGTCGTCGTCGTCATCATCGTCGTCGTCGAAGTTCGTCGTCGTCGAGGTTCGTCGTCGTCGAAGTTCGTCGTCGTCGAAGTTCGTCGTCGTCGTCGTCGAAGTTCTTCGTCGTCGAAGTTCGTCGTCGTCGAAGTTCGTCGTCGCCGAGGTTCGTCGTCGTCGAAGTTCGTCGTCGCCGAAGTTCGTCGTCGTCGAAGATCGTCGTCGTCGAAGTTCGTCGTTGTCGAAGTTCGTCGTCCTCGAAGTTCAACGTCGTCGAAGTTCGTCGTCGACGAAGTTCGTCGTCGTGGATGTTCGTCGTCGTCGAATGTCGTCGTCGTCGTCGAAGTTCGTCGTCGTCGAAGTTCGTCGTCGTCGTCGTCAAAGTGCACCGCCAGAACGAAACCCCCGCCCCCCATGCCCACCCCCGAAACAACATCCACAAGGCATTCCTTTCTTATATCTCAGCCCTGCAGCACAAAGAAAACTACACCAAAGCGCCCCGGCACCCGCGCAATCCGATGATCCTTCAGCCCGCGCGCAGCCCTGATAACACGTTTCCTCTCCTTCCTGTTATGAGCATCCGTATAATCAGAAGCACTACGCCGCGCAATCCACGCTCTCTGGTAAACAGTCAATAAACTCCAATGCAATTTTTTCCCCTCCAAAAAATTCCGCCACAAAGCAATATTTGCCTTCGCCAACGCCGTCTCCGTGTCCAGCTGCGTAGAAAGTTCTGCTCACCCGGTACTCCACCCCGTCGCCCGGGCACCCCCACCAAAGTCCAAACCCGAAGGCCCCCCAAAGACAGCTGCAGTAAGATGACATAAATCACAAGGACTTATCTGCAGTTTGCACAACCAATGCCGAATACCAAACTTTTCCGCCACAGCTTTCTGCATATTCCGCAAGACACCCAACACCTCCCGCCGGCACTTTCTCGACGACGCTTCCCCCGGCAACCCTGCAAAGAGGCAACGCGGAGCCGCCCCAACACTAGCATATTCCCCCGCCAACGCATTCACGACACCCTTCCCCCCATCACCAACCACATCTTCCAACACACAAAACAACGAACTGAAAATAAACTTGCCCCGACGACAGCGCACCCCCCCCCCCCCCCCCCCCCCGAAAACAACCCTTCTCCCGCCGAGGCCGCCCCAAAAGAGGTACGCCAAGTACACTTCTCATAACCACTTCGCACGCCACCAGGGCAGCATCCACACCTTCAGCAACCGCCCGCTCCAACGACAAAAAATCACACGATAAGACAGCCGCACGTTCAACCCAAGACAACTGCACCGCGACAAGACTGCCCAACCACCGACTCCCACACGCCACAAAATCTGAATCGTTAATACACAATCGACATCCGTCTTGACCATTAAACCGCACCTTCGCTGCACTCCGAATCAACCCATAAAATTTGATGTAATCCCACCCAGAACATTACCATACTCCGCCACAGCCCCCCGCACATGCAAAACCAAAGTTTGCCATCTATTGTTGCCCTCCACAGAACTCCCCTCCTCAATGACCTTCTGAACAAAAGCATGCGCACCAATGTAATACGCGATAAAAATCAGATGCACAAAAACCTGCAAGAAACGCTGCTTGAAAACATCATTGCCCCCATCCCCAACAGGAGAACCACCCTCATTCACAGTATCCCACAACCTTCTGCAAAGATCAACGAGATATGGCACTCGGGACCGACACCGGGCGTCCAAGCTCTTCCGCACCTGTGTGAAATACGCCTCCTCCGCACTCGTAAGCTCACGCACGCCACGCCCCCACCAATCCCCCACCGCCTCCGCCACCTTCAGAAACCCGCCTTCCCGAATCAAACACCACCCCAAGAAAACCATGAAACTGGAGAACAATGCAGCACCATCTTGCGACAACTCCTTGAAAAGCCCTTTCCCAAGCCCATTGATCCACGCCTCCACATCGCCACCAGCAGCGCCCGCTCGCGCGAAAAGTCTATAACCGCATCCCGTCGGGGGCGGGGAGCGCGCACCAGGTGCTCTCGAAACGACTCCATCGATATAGCTGCCGGCAACTCCCCGGCGTCCAAGCCCACACCCCCGCCATCGTCACCGACCTCCGCCTCCATCTCTTCCACATCCGCCAAGCTCTCACCTCCATCGCCGCCCACGCCCTCCGAATCCATACCACCGTCCCCCTCCGACGATTCCGACGCTGCATCTGACGCCATACCCGCCGCTTCAGCACTCCTCGCCCGCACTGGGCGCCCCCCCCCAGGATTCCCCACAGGCGCCCCCCGGCTCCGAAAGTCCAACTTATACCACGGCCCGTCCCGAAACTGCCCAGCATGAGTCTTGCCAGCGTCCCGCCCCTGCTGGATGCCGCCGCCCCCCAACGCACGAGCCGAAATTATGCTGTCCACC